AGACCATTTACTACTAGTTTTAAGATAGCAAACCAGAAGTTAGGGGGTTAAATTATCCCGGTGCAATTCTATTCGGTTCAACAGAACTGCATCAGAAATTAATTTGGCCCATAAGTTATCAAAACAACCCTCCTTTAGTTTTTTTTCACGTGAACCCTATTCAAGAGAATAAACCTCTAAGGCAAAGAAAATATCCCCATTGTCAAGATAAGATAAAAGCCTCTTATTTCAAGGAGCCATAGTGGCACCCACTTACTTGCTTTGATTTTTTTTTTACTACATCAACATTAATGCTGTGCTCATCCAGATCAGATGGCAGTCAAACTTGAAAATTAGAAGTATGTCCACATCCAAAAAGGGGTGGTTTGTGAGCTCAGAAGCTTAAGCGCACACACTACAAAGCACTTGTAGATATGGATAGATAAGCTTGCACCAAAGCCTTTCAATCGTTCATATAGAAACTCCCCGTTCAGAACTATTCTACCAGACGCTCACAGAACAACTTCTTACAAACACTGGACTTTTAAAAATCTCTTTAAATGGGACCCACAAATCTCAAAACTAAAAACACCACCACTGTCTTATGTACAAGGACTCTGATACGACAGCAACACTCCCCAATATGGGCTCTGAAAGAAAACTTGGCAGAATCGGGATCTTCAGACTAGTGGCCATCGTTGTTACTTGTGAACTTTGCATAGTTTGCATAGAGAAGGAGAAGACAGTTACAGCACACCAGCTTCTATCAACTATTCATGTTTTTATTTAGAAGGGTTTAGTGAAATTCACCTCCAATAATTACAGACTGTGAAAACCTGATCCTGCCAGCGAGTCAGAGGATAAATGTTAGAACACTCTTTGCTGTGTCTTAGGTTTTTTAAGTTTTTATTTATACCTATTCAGAATAGGAACATCTACCCTCACAGAATACATCTGAGTGTACAGAAGTGAGACATATAGGTGAAACCCAGTTATCATTAAGATTAGCCTGAGACTAGAAAGAAAACAGAAACAAAGGGCCACAGTTTCATTTGAGACTGCATAATGTATTTAAAAAGAGAAATTTTAAAAGCAAAAAATACCATTACCGAAATCGCTTCCAGAGCCCCGAAGACCACGCTGAAATGAAAAAACAGAATGCAGCAATTGAGATAAAAATGAAAGTCATTTCGTTCTACTTCTACATACAGAACGAGGTGCTAATACCCAACTTTACCATTTAAAAGGCATAAGACCACTCAGTGTTTGTTTTCGAGGCTTTAACAGGTATAACTGCCCCAACAGTTACGAAAAATACATCTGCATTGTTGGAGTTAACTACAACATACCTCATAGTGTCGAAGTTTCAATTTCAGAACTTCAATACTTCTTAAGCTTTCTTCCTGCTGTTTTTCCTTGGACATTAAGAGTCTTCGCAGCTCGTCTTTCTGAAGAACAAGCAATGGCTGAGACTGAGACCAGCTATCCAGCACTACAGCCAGACCCGTAAGCATTTAGGACACTTATTAAAACTGACTTAAAGGGTTCTCCTACTAGAGGCTAGCATGCAGAATCTTTTGCTTTCCAATGCCAATGATTTTTTGCCATCACTAACATCTGTACATTTATTAGTCAAATGAACATGCAATGACGACAGACAAACCATTAATAACAAGGCTGCATGCACCCGAGGTCTTCTGTGTATTGAACGATCTATACGACAAGCAATCTACTTCAAAGATTTATTGGCATGCTTTATACAACATCCGTGGAACAAGATTATGGTGATAATGCCAGAAGCCTATATAACTAATGCAAGGCAACACTAGATTTATGTCATTTTGATGCTCATTCATCAGAAGCTATTGTCTTCACTGTACACAAGTGGAAAACATGGAAACGAATTAATCAACTTTTGTATTTAAAGCTAAATGCTACATGTTCATCTTTCAAGTGGCAATCATTAAAACTGCTATATAAAGGTCATAATTAAAGTAATAAGATGAATGAAGGGAAGTATTTTACTTTAGCTTGTAGCCTATGCTAAAATTTAAGGTGGAGAGGAGAAAGAAAATGAGTTTTCCTACCTCACTTTCAAGATCATCTGCAACCATTTGCTCCTAGAAGGCAACCAAAAATCCCACACCCCCAAAAAATCATTTCAGTTACATCTTAACAGGGATTTGTGTGTATTTGATAAATGATCACTATTTTAGTGCAGAAGGGTATCTGCTGCCAACATGTCTCTCTCTTCCATTTTCCATATCCCTCCAATTTTTGGCAAAGAAGCACCTCCAGCCTGTCATATTAAGCAGACATTAAATAGCTTTGAAGCCTTGACATATGTGCTAATACAACAGACTGCGCTTCTAAATGATTGAGACAAGTATCCCTTTGTGAATCACATTTTCTGCCGAGGTATTTGCCACATTTTTTGTTGACTTTGGGTGAAAATGAATGCTCGGACAAGTTCTTCTTGGTGCTGTTGCTCAAAGTAGTTAAAGTTTCACTTTGTGGTAATCATGAACATACCAATGGACGCCTGTAACACACAAAAATGGAGCTATACATACACATGATAGGGAAATGTATATGCTGGCGGATTATTTTGAGGACTGTTGTTTAAGTTTAAAAAACTACCTATGAAGAAAGTACAGGGGGAAAAAACTTGGTTCCCAACAAACAAGTGGTTAAGTCCAGCTTGATTTTCCTCTTCCATTCTACAAGCTCTTAGAGTGCTGGAAAGGCAGGGGCGGATACACAATGCCTCTGGAAAAACAGGGCTTCAAACTCACTTGGTGACAGCTGGGCGAGTCCGAGGTTGGCAATCTTTGTTTCGATTTCTACAAACTGAAGATTTGCTCCTGCAGAACACTCCAGCTAATTACTACATTTTGATGTCTGCTGAGTCACCCCTGCCAGCTCTCAGGACTAAAGTATCAAGCAATGCCAAAGAAGCAATCCACGTACTAGTTAATGGATAATCACATTCAGGGTTTTTTCATTTGTTTTTAATACAAAATAAAAAGACACTATTAAAGGCAGCATATCTGCTTTGAGCCATGCATCAGAGATTAGAATTTGTTTCTTAAGGCTGTAACATGAACCAACATGCTCTCCAGTTTGACTATGATGCAACGATTTGAGTATCAATAGAACTACATTTAACAGCGTTTCATGTTTGAGAAATGACCACAGTATTAAAAGGTCATCTCCCTATGGATATACCATATTGCAGCAAAAAAATAAAGCAACACTGAGTCAACAAGAACAGCTCACGAGGAAGCAATAAAAAAAATTACAGAACTCAGTTATCTATATTTTCCCCCGCCCATGAAACAGACAGTAAAATGATTGATGAAAAGGGCTACACCAAATTCATGGCCCATTCTGATCTATTTCATGGCCAGTGGGTTTTTTAATTGATCAATTTCAGAAACAGCTGAAAATCTGAAATGTCAGTGTTGTAGCCACAGGAGTCCCAACCCAGGAGGTACCTGGAAGTGAGTCTGATTTCTCATCCCACTCCATCCTAACAGTCTTGTCTCCCCTCAACCCATCAGCAACTCACAATTAGGAGCCCCATGACTGGGCATTTTCATCAGTAAGAGATGAGGGAGATCAGATTTCACAGAGAAGGGCTTATTTCATGGTCTGCAGCACATTTTTCACATCTGTGAAATTGGCACTGAGGAATCCTTCAGAAAGGGAGTGACAGCCTTCCCCCACACACGCCTTTCAAAACAAGCTGGTTATTCACCAAAGAACAGCAAATTACACTTCAAAGCAGGGTGGTGGCTGTTTTAAGTTAAAATAAGCACAGTAATTCCATTTCCCACAGATATACAAGCAGAGAGGCTATTGATTTCCTGATGGAACATTTGATTTTCAAAAGCTAGCAACCCACCAATAAATCCCTGGGCCCTTTTAAATGGGCAGTTCGCTGTGAGTCATTGACATTTCCGTTTCAAGACTTTTAGAGAAAGCCATTCTTGTGTGCTGTGCTAACTTCAGAAAGGAGGTCTTCACAGACAGACATCTGTCAGGGATGGTCTAGATAATACTGGGTTCTGCCGTGAGGGCAGAGAGCTGGACTCGACCTCTGGAGGTCCCTTCCTGTTCTAGTTTTCTATGGATTCTATGATTATTTACGTTAGATAACAGCTCATTTTTAAACATGGATTATACAAAATCCATTTACCTCATTCAGTTGTAGCTCTAGCACACCGACTCGTTCTAAAAGTATTTTCTGTTCCTGTTGAATCTCTCTCAGTCGGTCTTGCAGATCTTCATTTTCTGCCTCCAGTTCCTTAAAGAAAATGTAGGCACCTTAACAAGTAACCATAATGATTGTTCAGAATACCAGTGCTTGTTTATCAAAATCTGTAACACCTCTGTAGCCTGGCTTTTGATGAGTTTACAGGTACAATTATTTAAAGTGCCTTCAAATTCTCCACCACTCGAATGCTTGTCCCTGGATAGTTTTTTATATAATACTGTCCCTGTCCATACTTCAGTGCTGACAGCATTTCAAGAGCTCCTTTTATCTCTTGGCTGTCAACATATAAAAAACTTGTGTTAAAAAAAAGAGCAGTCTGAAACCCAGCCACTGTATTCAAAGATGTATTGCCTTTTAACATGCTGCCGATCTGAAGTGCAGCAGATGACACCTTAAATCACGTCTTATTAAACCAGAACAAATACATTCAGCATGTTTTAAATAAAGTGCAATATTTCAAATTAGTATCATAACCTTTATCAGAATGAGACCATTTATTGGCCAATTTAATTTTTCCCACTATTAAAAGACCATTCATAAATAAACTCAATAAGGAACTGACAAAAGCTAAAAGTTTAGAATTAAGCTTCCATTACAGTAACTTCTCACAATGCACACACTAAGGTACTTAAACAGCAGAGGTGATACAATAAGCTATGTATGGTTCTCAGTTTTGAGGCCTATGACCTCAAGTCATCCCGTTGAATGCTAAAACAGTTTATAATAGCAGCCTTAATTTTAATCCAATTTTAAAAGTTAGTCCCGCAATGTTATTTCACTTTTAAGAATCACCTATACTGGCATACTAATGATCTGAGAAATAAATGCTTAGCTCCTTATTACACTACCATTTATCAACACTTGAGTGCTCTTTACAGAACAGATCTATTTTAACTAATAAAAGCCTCTACAGAACATATAAAATTATACACCAGTGCACAAAAGGGAGAAATAGCTTTACAATGGCTTGCTTGTAGTTATGAGGTGGAATCAGTCAGTGTCAATGATTTATAGGGAAACACGAGGTACATTTTGTGAAGCCATTTCTTGCTTTTACATTAACATTTTCTCTATAATGTACAAGACTCAATCATAAGCCAGTAATTCCCGCACTGTTGCCCCAATCCTGAAAAGTAGCCCACGTTGGACCTCCCTGGTCCAGCACCCTCAGGACCTGACTGGTCCCAAACAAGGGATTTTGCTGGACCAAGGGAGATCATTTCTGGCCCCCCAACTTAGCTACACTCCTGGCCTGGCCACCAGCCCACTGGCACTCTGGCTGCCTGCCTCAAGCCCAACCAGACTCCTGCAGCAGGGCTCCTGGCTGCCAGCCCTCCTGCAGCCAGCCTGGCTAGGCATCCACCCCTGCAGAGCTCCGGTCTCCAGCCCTCCACCAAGACTCTCTGGTCCAGGAACACCTGTGGTCCTGCCAGACCACGGATGCTGCCAGACCAGAGTGTCCCGGTTTAGAGAGGTTCGATGTGTAGACATCTTCATCTCTCACTCAACAGGAGGTAGTCAGCACTTAAGAGAATCAACAACTACATAACCAGACATGTGTAACAGCCCAACCTTGGGCTGTTTGATTGAACCAATTAGCATGCATTTTAAATGAAAGTGAAGACTCATTAGTCTGACAAGACATTGCAGAGATTTTATCCATTTTAAAAAGGGGGATAAACAAGTCACACACTTGCAATACTGCACATTAGCAACGTTCCACTGAATGAAGTGCTGAGAACTGAAATACCACATTCCTGGTATGTGATTTATAACTAAACCCTAATCTTTATGAGTATACAAAGCACAAACCCCTTCCGGCTTGTTTTATTCTGATTTACCTGCATGCTTGGCTGTTCCCTCTGATACTGCTTGAAGTTCACTTCTTGTGGATACATCTGATTCCATTTCGGTGACATAGCAGTAACCTGTTATTGCAGCATTGAAACATAAAATAGTCAATGTAAGCAAACTAAACTCATGCTCTTTCACTTTCTGAGCACAACATGTAAACCCAGCGTTTTCTAGCAGAAGGGAATTACAATTAGCTATATATCCCACAGGGGGCAGTGTTGTTATTAGTTCATGCACATTCTGCTAGTCTTATGTTTCTCAGAGGATTAAAAACAAAAATCAGATGAATGTGTCAATCTACAGATATAGGTCGTGGCAGTTTCATTTCAAATCCCTAAGTCAATAAATATCCATCTCATTTCAATATCAAGGGCCAGCGTGCCATCCACGACCAAGTGGCACTGAATGCAGCTGAAGAGGGCCGTAGCTTCTCCACCAGCGCCTATGTTTAGTCGGAGTTGCTTTGAGCCTACTTTAAACTCTGCCAGCAGCCAGAGAGATCACCATGCCACACCATATCCCCTTCACTCCAGGCAACCGACATTTCTTTATAGTGGCCTAGAGAATGGTGTTTGGGCTGCTACTGTGGTTTTACACCACTGAGGCATTTCCCTGTGCTAGAGAGTCTTCCATTGGCTCTACACTGATTTAATGGGTCTGGAATCAGGTCTCAAATACATTCAGACTTCTAGAGAGCCAAGCTTCCCAAGAACCACACAAGTGACAAAAAGCAGCACTTACGCTCACAAAGATGCACAATACAATGATTTTCCACTACATGGACTGTGCATTGTTAAGACTCCCAGGAAAAATGACATGTTGTTGAGCAAATATTTTAAAATACAAGGTAACTCTGAGCAGGCATGGAAATGTTTAATATACCAAGACATTTAGCAGAGAAAATAGTCTTACCTTTTGTTCAGGCTGCCCTTTCTTCAGAAGCTCCCTTGCTATTAAAAAAAAAAGCCACGCAACAACAGTTAATGCTTTTAGTTTATATATATTTATTTCAAGTTAGACAGTGATTTAATAGTTATATTGGAGGAAATAGTTACAGGTTGAATCTCTCTAGTCCAGCACCTTCAGGCCTGATTGGTGCCAAACCAGAGAATTTGCTGGACCACAGGTGATCAATATTGTCTAGCAATACTAACAGCCCAGCAAGCAGTGGAAGAAGACAGTTAAGGGTGATTTAGAGCTAAACAGCAAAAAACACCGAGAGCCTGGACTGGGGGCCATAAACAAACTTTATGGGACCATGGGAAACTTGAACACATCCATGATACATGGACAGCTAGCTAACGACCAGAGAGGTTCAACCTATACTAATTTGCATTTCTGATTTTGTTAATTGAAAGAATAATCTCAAACCCAAATAGTTTTTACAGTTAGGACTGTTTCTCATCATCACTGATAGGCTTATACCAATTTCAAGAAAGCTCTAAACAATCCTATTTAAAAATGTATCATTTCCATTTCTGATTATTTTCCAAATGTAGAACATTTACATCATATACAAGGTTAGGTTTTGTAAGAGCATAGGGTTACAATGGAGTGTCCCAGGATTCGATCATTGAAATGCTCCTGTTCTGAACAGAACCGATGGACAGTCTGTGCTCCAAGATTAGTGTGCCATATACTGTGACAAGGCCACATCCTTGTTATTGGAAAGAAGCTTATTCAATACAACAAGCAGCCTGTGGCAACTAATATTCGTTAGTCTCTGAGGTGCCATAGGACTGCTAGTTGTTTTCAAAGTTACAGACCAACACAGCTAGCCCTCGGAGAGTTATTTCCAAAAAGACATTGTTTGACCACAAAATGTAATTCAGACCATTTTTTTCTTTAAACCATTACAAAGCTTAGTATTAATAGTATCTGCCCACTCAAGATCCAACACTCCCTGCAAGAAGAACAGACATGAAAACAAAAATCCCAGAAGAAAAGTCTCCTGTGGATAAAGGAATACTTGTCATACCTTTGCCGGAGTCCTCAATGGCAGTCTTTATTAGGGCCAAAATGTCAATATTGTCACCAATTCTGGCATAGTAAGAACAGTCATGATCAAGGGCATCAACCAAACTAACATCTGCACCATTTTTGAGCAAAACTTCTACTGCATCCTTGCAGCCATATTCACAGCCTAACATCAGAGCAGTCCTAGGGGCAGGGAGAGAGACCACAAACATGAGACACCGGAGGAGGGGACAATATTTGCAACGAACAGCTTACTTGAAGTACAGGCAGTCCCCGGGTTACATGGATCCGACTTACATCGGATCCCTACTTACAAAAGGGGTGAGGCAACCCCGCACTAGCTGCTTTTCCCCCTAGCAGACCAGGGAGACGCGAAGCTGGCGCCCCACCCAGCAGACTAGGGAGACGTGGAGCGGCTTTTCTCAGCAGACACCTCAGCTTGAGAATAAAGGACTGAGGGAAGTGAGGTGTGGGAGAATAAAACTGAGCTGTGGAGAAATGTTTGGCTAGAGTTTCCCCTACAATATGTACCAGTTCCGACTTACATACAAATTCAACTTAAGAACAAACCTACAGTCCCTATCTTGTACGTAACCCGGGGACTGCCTGTAGTAAGCATTACTTTTGTCAACTCAACTGCAGAAGCTTATGCTTAGAGAAATCCCCTACCCACCATGTATTTTCACGTAACTGGATATTTCTATTGAATTAATACATAGAGTATTTCTTTGATAAAGCATGTTACTGACTGGTTTTATTCACAGAGAAAATGAAAATAAACCCAATTCTTACTCTCCTCAAGAAACTCATTTTATAACACACAGTTGTCAACTCAACTGCAGAAGCTTATGCTTAGAGAAATCCCCTACCCACCATGTATTTTCACGTAACTGGATATTTCTATTGAATTAATACATAGAGTATTTCTTTGATAAAGCATGTTACTGACTGGTTTTATTCACAGAGAAAATGAAAATAAACCCAATTCTTACTCTCCTCAAGAAACTCATTTTATAACACACAGGTTA